TGTCTAAGAGTGAAAGATTTCTGATAAATCTCATCAAAGTCATCACTCTGTCTGTCTGTCTAAATTTTGAAGCTCCGTCTTGAATAACAATCACTGCAGCATAGGTCGGTCTGATTCCAGGATGGAAAGCTTTAATTCTCCCCACATGGTGCAGAGACATCTGGACCTCGGTACAATCGCTCCTGGTAAACATACAATCACAGCTTCTTGTTAACACTCTAAGGTTTCCATGTATCATCTTCAGAAAGAAAACAAAGCTTAATCCTCGCTTTGCTCCCTCGAGGTCCGCTGTTTGTGAATGACTCTGTTGTGGACGCCTGGCGGCAGATTTGTTTGTCCACAAACAGTTTGATGATGTTTGTGTTTTGGGAAATTAGATTATAAAGAATTCATGCATGACTGATGGCAAGTTAAACAGAGTAGAAGGAAAATTAGATTGGTGAGTTTGATTGAAATCAGGTGTATGCATCTAACTACACAAGCTATGGGCGCAGACACACTGCCTGCGTTTTGTGTAACGGCCGTGTCACGTCTCTGTTTTGATTTCGTCATATATGTTAACGTGTCAGAGCTTACTGTCGGCGTGCACAGAGAATAGAAAACTCTATTTCTCTAGGCCATCATAGTAAATGACAGGCATGAAGACGAAAGTACAGTTACACTAACAGTGTGATTTCAAAGTAAAAGCCCAGTCTGGCATTTCTGTGGAGAAATTTCCCTTGTTTGGACAGAACGCTTTTTTTCTGAAGTTGTTACAGGACAGTTGTTTGTTAAATAAAGTTTCTTAGGCAGCTTGCTGGGTTCCTCAAAAAAACTTTATTAACCAAAGTTAAAAACATGAAGTAAATAATAATAACATAAGAAAAGGTTAAGGACGATATTTCTTCTGGTATTCTCTCTCTCTCTCTTTGCCTGGCCCCCTCTTCTCCTAAAGGCATTTGGATAAAAAATAAAAGCTACGTTGGGGAAATTAAGTATTTCTCATCAATTCCTTTGGTCTACTTCTTGGGAAAAAAAAGTCCTCGCAGATCAAGTGACATTTTCCCTCTGAATGTTAATGACACACAGTGAGTCTGTCGTAGGGCGGCGACACATCCACTAGTGTCTAATAAATCAAATCAAATCCAGGAGTGGGAAGTTTGTTTACCTCTCTGCTCCTCGGAGGACGATAGGCAGCTTCTGCTGTTTACTATTTAGGGAGACGTTTGAGTGTGTAATTCCAATTTATGTTAAAATGTCAGGAATAAAAACAAACAACACAATATCCTTTGACAGTTATATATATCAGCTATACAATTTATTTAGTATGAACAGCATGAATAATGGAAAAGAACTGGATGAATCATCTATATCTTTCTGTAAAAAGTAATACAAATCAGACTGGTGACATTTCAAGCTGCGAGGAGATTTGTTTTCTCTCACTTCCGTTGAGTTTTCTTGGTTTTCTTGATAATGTTTTCATTAACACCCTGCTGAGACTGTCTGCCTGGAAAATTGTAATATTTTGTTGATCATGAAGGCTAAAATGTTTGATCGAACAATGTGAGTTTCCTTCCCAAGCTGAAGCCAAATTGTAAGCTCTCACCTGCCACCCTGCAACCCCCCTCCCCCCCTCCCTGACTTCCTCATCTCTGTTCCGTCTCCTTCATCCAGCTCCCCCAGCGTGAGCCTTTTTAAACTTTAATCATCTCATTTTCAATGCATTTCACAGCAACTTGTCACAATGTTATCCTGATTTTCAAAAGAAGAACCCTCCCCCCCCCCTCCCCATTTAGCCTCAATCGACTCAGTGGTTTCAGATTCCACCAGTCTGTTCATTACCGAGCTCCCTGACATCAGAGTGATGCTGACAAAGAGAGGTTTTACTGATGAAAATTTAAAGGCTCTGCAGAAAAATACAAAATAAACTCCTGCTGGAGGTGATGCACAGTCATATCACACTATTGATCCACACACTCGTACGAGTTTTTCCCTCAAAAACATTGGATATTTTAAAACCTGACTAAAACACAACTCATTAGAACGTGTCTTGTCTATGACGGAATTTGGCTGCAATCAAAGGAGAGCAGAAAGCGAGGAAAAGAAGATATCTCTCACAGGAGTCCTGCTTCTTGTGTGTTTCTTTCCTTATGAGTGAGTCAGAGCGAGGCCATGACACCTGCTGTGCTCTGGATACCGTGTTGTGTTGGTCACAGTGTGCACTTTGCAATCCATCGGCCAGCTAAACCGGATGAAACCAAAGTCCTAAAAGTCACAATAGCTGATGTTTTTTTCAAGACGAGCTGCATTGATTGGTGCTCTTAATTCCTGTAAAATGTGTTTTTTTTTTATGAGGCTGTCGAGGTAAAAAAAACAAAAAAAATTTTGCCGAATTTGTTGAAATGAATTTCAAACTAATATTAAGAATCAAAAGACAAATACGATATGTATAGTATGACATAAAAATATGACGTATTCAAAATTCATACTACTATAGTGTTTAAACATGTATTGGCTAATGGAAGGTTCAATGATAAAAGAAAGATCAAGGTAGTGACGTCTGTCATTAGATGATGTCCTCTGTAGAAGAATGCTTCATTTGGCCTCGGCTCATAAACCTGCTTTCATGAACACCCAACAGCAGGCTCTGCATTAACTCCCCATCAGGAGGAGGTATTTATCTTGAGTGACATCATGTGATGAGTGGAAAATGGATAAAAACTTAAATACAAGATGTATCCAGTGTGATTTTCTAAAAAGCTTTGGCTATGTGCTCCTTTGTTTATCCGGGGAGCAGTGATCAAAGTAAACTAAGCTGTTTGTAGATTGTTCTCCCTGTTCCTGCGTGGGTTCTCCGGGTACGCCGGCTTCCTCCCACAGTCCAAAGACATGCTCTTCAGGCTAATTACTGACCCCTAATTGCCCGTAGGTGTGGATGTGTGTGTGTCGGTTTACTGTCTCTGTATATCAGCCCTGATTGGCTGGAGAACAGTCCAGGGTATCCCAAGCCTCTCGCCCAATGACAGCTGGGATCAGCTCCACCCCCTGCGACCCCGAATGGGAAAAATGGTAATGGTTGAACAAAGCTTCAGACCAACTGATCATAAAACAAGTATATACAGAGGTTTCTATTAAACATAATTGAATAAAATGATAATAGTTCCATTTTAATCCCAGATAATATGTTCAGTGAGTAATGAAATACTGAAGAAGCCAATGAAGAAAACTGAAGCAGAATAGATCTGAAAATAAGACAGTTAACAATCTAATCTTACTGCTTTGAACCACTTGGAATCACACAACAATTACAGTAGATTATTTTGAAATACAATGTCACTTCAGGACATTTGCCTATGAAGAAATGATTCTGTATAGCATTTAATCCTCTGTTTTACCATGACTGTCACCCTGTGACATCTAATAATTCCCACTAACCCCGGAGGAGAATGTCAAAATAAGTTGTTACTTAGAGTTGTGTTGTAATTTATCTCCCTGGTGATTCAGCTTTTATTTCACTGATGGATGATATACAATTGAGTCATAATTTATGTTAAAACTAGGCACAGTTTGTTGGAGCAACAGGCTGCAGATACAGAGTTTGGGACTTTTCAGAGACCGGCCCTGCAGACGAGCTTTTTGATAAAACACTGCGTGCGATGTTGCAGCCTCACAACTGAGCAGGTGCTCGGGGCCCTTGTTAGAATGCCTTTGCAGGCCACAATAGAAATGAATAAGAGCAGAACCAAGGTTTAATAGTAACAATAACAGGGCTTTGATTTACCCGTACACATTCCCTCATAAAGTTTATATCTAAACACTTTTGCCCTCACGTGCAGGGTAACACATTGAATTGCTTTGTCAGCCATTGAATGATGACAATGGCCTCAGGGGGAGTTGGACAGACTTTGTTTGGGTGTGTAGTTATTCAGGCACACAAAAGCATGGGCCGAAGCAGTGTCAGAGGAGATTTACTGTGTCTGTGGTCGGTGCATTCAGCAGGGTATCTAATCATGTGCACTTACAGGCTAAATAAGCAGAGCATTATTTACCTCTGCTCTTAGAGGGCAGGCTCCACTAGGAGTGAGAGAAAGAGAGAGAGAGAGAGAGAGAAAGGTGGGGGAGAAAAAAATGCCCGCAAGGATCTGCTGAATTTCAAATTGAAGCAAAAGATCCGACAGTGAGGGTGAGTGTTAGAGAAAGATGAATGGTATCCATGGAAATAAAGCCAGAGGAGAGGCTGAGGTGTCTGACTGTTTTCCAGTTAAGACCCTTTCCTTCACACACTGCTGACAGCCAGCTGACACACATTGTACGACTATTGGCCAGACTGGTCAAGCATTTAATTATACAGTTTCTATAAGTGGAAACTAAATCACAGATATGCTTAATAGCTGATTTTGCAATATTTATGCACAAATGCAGCACCTGAGACTCTGGAAATCAGTCTTGAAATAGAAAAATATAATTTGGATTGAATGTAGTTTTTTCTAATACTTTTTAAAAGCGTACTTTTAAAATGACCCTTTTTTTAGGGTCAATTTTGGATGTGTTCATCTGTGACTTTAAATATTTGTTTGTGTCATTGAGGCTAATTTATTATCACTATAGGATCAAATATCATCTTAGCTCTGTGACTGATAATTATGGATATTGATATGAAGATAAACATGTCATTAATTTATCTATATAAACATTAAAAAAACTCTAACCATCACTTCTGACAGCAGCATCTATCTGGGTCACAGTCAGAGGTCATTAACAGGTGAGAGTTGGATTCTGCACAAACATTTGAGCAAGTGAGAGAGAAGGAAGCTTAAAGCCTGAACAGCATGGAGAACGTTGGAGATTATGTCCAGTTGGAGAGTTTTACGGATTTAAAAGTTTAAACAGGGAGAGACAAAGACGTCAAAGAAACTTGAGAGAACAGGAGGAGACACTGAGATGTTTCCATGACGACTCAGGGAAAAGCAGGTGTTGCTGAATCTGATTAAACAAGTTTTTTTATTTTTTTTATTTTTTACCTTAGACGAAGCCGAAGCCACCAATCCTGCTGGGGTTATGCCTCGCTTGACTCCTATGTCACTGCTCGATGTCGTCACGGCGACTGTAACAGGGGTGGGGAGGAGGGAGGGGATGACCGGGAGGGGGAGAAGCCCTGGTCGGTTGTTGCCGTTGATGACGGCGGGGGCGCAGCTGTGATTGGCTCCTCCATTGTGGAGGCCAGAAGGACGGATGTCTCTCCGCTCCCAGGGTCCTCGGTAGTCCCTCTCAAAGCGGTTGTGGTGGCGTGACATCACTTCCTCTTCCTCTCAGAGGGAACAATGAGGGCAGGCCTACATGAGATGGAAAGAAAGAGTACAGGTCAGGTGTTATCGAGAACATGTTGACACTAAGGGGTAAATGCTCACAGCATCTGCTCCCAATGCACCTGACAATGAACACACTGGGGTTCATTTGTTGCAAGTACTGCTTAGCAGGTCTTTGAAAACTCCATCAGTGCTAAAAATCACAAGAGGTCAGTTTGCCACATAAAGCATCTTTGCTAAACGACAAGAAGTAAAAACATAGCAGCTGAGTGGAACAGCAGTATCATGACCCTGCGGTCATAACTCATTCATCTGACCAGATATTAACTCCTGCAATTACAGCTCATCTCATACATTGAACGGCCGCTTAATTCAATCAGATCAGCTTAGAAGTGCAGGTGAGGTTTCTTCTCTTTTTACAGCAGAGGATGCTGTGATGTGCAAAGAGGCGACAGTGAGCTGGAATTACATCAGTATGTGCTACGATGCTATTGTGTAGCATGAGCAGTATCACTCTGTATTATATCATAAATCAAAGCGGTGCAGGTTCTGAGCAGTGAAATCTATCACTGAGGGGATTGTAGCACATTGTACCTCTCATCACCAGAGGCGACCAGAGTTCTTGAAATATATCAAAGAAATAAATAACCTCAAAACAGGTTAAGCCCCCCATTCAAAATCCCCAGGTCTGTGAGGAAAGATTGACGGCAAACAGTGATCTTTATTCTGCAGGCTGGGGTCTGTCACGCTGCTTCTTACCTCACTTAAAAGGCAGATGCCTTAAAAAAAAAAGAAAGAAAAAAAAAGCGACAACTCTGTGTGCAGCTCTGCATGAGTTTTTCCTAAAGCAGCTTATACTGTAAGTGAATGGCTTTTAATGCAGGTTATATTTTGGCAGTATTAAATACAACCACATGCAAACGTCCAGCTAAGAAGGTGAGAGTCTTTGAGCAGTGTTGTTGGAAATATATATATATATATATTTTTTTTTTTTACAAAGGTTTGATGTGAGCGACACACAATGCAGCCTGTGGTGGGAGCACTGGCCCTTCTGTTCACTGACTAAACCCTCTTTCTGTGTCTGCTTTGTCTTTTTGTCTTAATGCACTGTATTCTCTCTCATACAAGCTCTGGTCTGTACATAAAGCAAAATGATATGTAGCCATGGATTGAGAAACTAAAAGCTGCAGGCCAACTCTCTCACACTCCGCCGCTCACTCTACAATAACCCCATTTTAATAACCTAACATATTACAAAAGAAGACGTGTCTGCTATCTTTGTAAAATGTTGAAGGGGGAGAGAGTAGCAGGGTGCTCGTCCAGCCGAACAATGTCAGAGTTGGTGCAAGGTAATATTTTTTCTTATCATCCAAGCGCCACACAATAACAAAGCAGGTGAACAATGCCTTCACAGAAAAGGACAGGGAGGTTAGAAAAAAATAAATAAGGAAAATTATCTCTACAAGAGTCAGAATTGAGGGCAGAGGGCTTTTTTCAGTCCAATTCTGAACCATTCTTTATCAGTGTTTTTCAGATGTGAAATACAGTACATGCTACTGTGCAGTCACTGTGCTACAAAGTTGAGGCGGATTTGTTATTTACTCACTACTTCTTACCTTTTCCTGTAAACCTCCAGGAACAAAGGCATGCTGGATTAAAAAAAAAAAAAAAAAAATCCATTACATTATGCTGGAATAGCACTGGACAGAGTTTGTGAGAGCCCACACAAGAGAGAGCTTTGTGAAATTATCTTCAGTAAGGCAGGAACTGCAGCAAGGACAGAAAGAGTGAAAAGTACGTTCTTCATACTTCAAGAGTTGCAGAGGGAGAGCACACTGTACTTGCACTGAGTGAATGCAGTTTTTAAATGTGCATGAGTAAAAAAGATTAAAGTTCCTTGTGTTGCATTCAAGATGTAGAGAAGTTGGCACATTTTTGAACATAAATGATTTAGACCACGGTTGCATCATGGGTCTTGTAGTTATGTTATATAATAAAGTATAGGAATATAGACAGGACTGTAGTCAAATAAAACCAAGAGACTACCGAGACTACTGTTCACCTCAACCACCTGATACATGCAGAGAACTAATTTCATCCGTTCAACAACAGAGTAGGCTACCGTTAAATTAGCCTTCCTTATGTTTAAGTTGAAGATTTCACCACTCGGTGTCACTGTTGTTATTCACACCAGCTGTAGATTAAGGGTGTAGCCTGTTGTTATCACCTTATCACGGTGCGTTGTCATATCTGAAATACATTTTTCTGTCGCTGTTTGTATATTAACGACAGATAACTGAAGTTATTTGCAGCCGTTAGTCTGTTCAGAGACTATTAGGCACGAGAGGAAATACTTGAAAGAACAATACTTAAAAAAAAAAAAAGGCTTTTCCACAGGAAGTGAAAACGTCATTACTGCAAAAATATTGTGATTATTTTGGACGTTATTCTCTGCTATTTAAGATGAACCTTACGTCTCCCTGGTGCAACCAAGCAATGAAGATTAAGTTAGAACGCATCTAGTTTCAACGAAGGGTTTAGTGTGAACTTAACACCATAACTTAAAACAAAACTTACACTTAGCTGGTGCAACAAGGCGCTGGTATCATCTTGTGTTGCACAATTAAACCAACATGCCAGATATTATAAACATCCTACTTCTACCTCTCAATACGTTTACAGTCATTTAAGTGAATTCCTGTCATCCTGTATCAGTGTTCAGTGTGTAACAGCAGGCCTGCAGCGGATCCACAGTGTCAATGTGTCACTGAGACATATCCCACTAGATAGATGTAGATGTATGCTCCTCATCTACACACGGATTTAAAAAAAATCATACTTCATTTTTTTTTTTTAATTAGTGAATATCAAGGCTGAGAGTGGGTGCTGTGTGTGTGTGTGTGTATGTCAGAGTGGTCAAATTATTTTGCTCTAAGAGGTGCCTGTGGACACCAACATTCAGTAACTTTGCCAGAGCAGATAAACACTTAAATGCATCACATCTGCAGTGACACTTTGCTCTGAGCTGTGCTGTTGCAGGGAGAATGTGCCAATAAAGTTTTTTATCCCATTTCCTTTAAACATCCAATGAAGTCTCTATCAGCCCGGACACACAACAGTATTTCAGAGGAGATGTGATAAACTTGCTGCAAGACGTGCGTGAAAATCCAATCTTTTTAAAAGCCTTTTTAATAGCAAAGAGAAACCATTGACAACAATTAAGTCATACCCTGCAGCAATTAATAGCTGCTCATCCGCTCCTGCAATCCTGTTAGCATGTTAATAAGATTACCTGAGGGTATCAGAACTTCCTACGCCAAATGCTATTTTCTGACTCCAACATGAAACACCAGCTGAGGACTGGGAAAACTGTGTTGAGAGATGGAAATCTAAACAAATGATTAAAATCACTAAACGTCTGGAAGCTGAGAGAGTAACAGCAGAAATCTGGTTTCCAAGATGAGCAGCAGAGCCTGAAACTGAAAATATCGTGTTTGCAATCAAACTTAATGAGCTCGCTCTCTGACTGACTGACTGACTGACTTTTCCATGGAGCTGCCAGTCACATCATGAGTCAGGAGGCAGAGGAGACACAGTGTGTGTTGGTTGCTTGGCATTTTTTTTTGCCACCTTTTTAAAATACTGATGCTTCAGAATTCAATTTTTTTAAATCATTCCGCATAGGACATTCCAACTACCTGTGTGATATGGTAAAATGGACTTGACTACGCTTTTCTCATCCTTTGAATACTCACCTGTGCTTTTTACACTTCATCTCACATTCAGCCATTCCCCACCACAACGTTCACACACTGAAGACAGAGGCTGCTACGTTAAGTGTCCAACTGCCTAACACTACTTTTCTACTCACAAGCATTCTCAAGCTGCTGGGGAAGCTATGCTGGGAGCAATTTAGAGTTCAAGTCATCATGACCTCACTGCTATCACCATGGAGATTCCTTGCATGTCCTGTGTGAGTTGTGAGACCACGCAGTGCACATCAGCACAATTATTTCAGTTACAGACAAGCAGAGGATTATTTGCAGGTGGAGACATGAGATGTGCTCCCTAAAGGACAGCACCTGACACTCACAGCATGCGGAGTGTATGTGTAGGTGTGTGTGAGTGTGTGTATGTGTGTGAGAGTGTGTATGTGTGTGTGTGTGTGTGTGTGTGTAACAGAGCTACGACAACAAACTCATGTGGAAATACACAGGGAGACCGTGGTAGATGTGTGCAAAGAGGGAGATTAACAGATGGACAGAACGTGGCAGCGATGGAGTGTTTGGGAGAAAGCAAACCAGATATAACAACAGTAAAGTGTTTGTTTCTGTGTGTTGTGTGTGTGTGTGTCTCAAACTTCCTTTCTAGTCTTGCACAGTCTTTCCTGTATTTAACACCCCCCTGCTCTTCCACCAACTACAGATACTCAAAAGAGGAAGGTACCCATGTTTACTTCAATTGACCCAGCAATGGTCCATATTACACCCCCCTACACACACACGCACACATATACACAACCACCTGCAACACTCACAAGTCTGTTTTATTAATGAATCAACAAGCCTGGATGGTATAAACAGGGGTAGGGGAAACTAGGTATTATCTAACTCAAGGGACACATTATGTCTGTACACTCAGTGTTCCCATGGGATCGATGTATAACCACAGCCCAGTCACACACACACACACACACACACACACACACACACACCTATACAACTGCACACCAGAAAATGTGCTGACATTTCCGTTCAGGATAATGTATAGCCTAGTTTGGGGTTGTTATGCAGACGGAACCCTGACAGGAGGAGCAGGTCTTCTCTCACACTGTCAGGATTTCTCCATGGTAACCTGCGCACCAGAGTTTACACGAGAGTTTTTTTTCTTTTGACTGCCTATTTACCACATCCCAGAATTCCAGCCACAAAACTAGAAACAGTGTAATGCAGTAAGTCGAGCTGTAATACAATCATTCTCACATTATTGGTATAAGCCATGAATTGTCATTAATTAATCACAAAGCC